ATTGTTTGAACCCACCCCTCGGCGGCCGCCGCCAGCTTTCGGGAAACTTGTTCCTGTTGCAGCCATTGTCCTGGACAGCGTAGCTGGGGAAGGGTCTTCACATGTCTCTGGATGGATGTGTTGTAGACTTCGACTCCTGCATCAGATCCCAGACTTGCCAGGAAGAAGAGTGGTGCATCACCACGGCAGCGTCATGAGGAAGATGCGAGTAGTTAGAACATCGTAAGGTGACGATGTTCGTGCTAGATTGATCTCGTATGTTTGAATAAGGTTTGATGTCTTGCGTTTGTCCCCAGATCCGCCTGTACCAAGACATGCCCGACCTAACCCGAGCTGTTCCCGGCGCCGTAGCCGAGAAAGTCTGCCATCTCCTTCTCGCACTTCCGATCAGCCCCAACCCTGTACAGTGCCGTTTTTAATGCATGTTCCGCGTGCGGATCATGTATTACAAATGCAGGGATTCAGTATTTAAAACGACGATGAGTTCATGCATACTTCTAATCAGAAATTGATCAGGTGTTAAAAATCCGGCATTGCATTAAAACAAAACGTGTATTAAACATCGCCCTGTAGCTGCCAAGCTTTTGAGTTGCCGATTCGTGCTCGCCCGTCCGCGCACTCCTTGCACGAGTTGCTCCCAGCCCTGCGGCCTGGGATGCGTGCCCGCTCCTTCTCGCCTTGAGTCGGGCCTGTCCCCCTGCAGGGGGATTATGAATCATACCCCCAAAATAGTCAAATAATAGTATGGGGACTATTTTTTGGTTTTTTTTTGGCCTTCTTGGTTTTTTTTTTTTTTTTTTTTTTTTTTAAAATTATGTTTCGTCGAAGATCCCCCTGTAGGGGGGGACGCCCGACATAATTCTTGCCCCCCCCGCAGGACCAGATGCCCCGGCGTCGGAGCTGCTGCTGTCTGCGCGTTCGCTTCCCCGCGGTCTCGCACGAGCTGATCCGAGCGCACCAGCTGCGGACTTCTTCGATGCTCGTTTCGGGGACCTTCCTGGAACCCACCTAACGGATCTGTTCGACCCCTGTTCGACTCAAGTTCGATTCAAGTTCGACTCAAGTTCGATTCAGGTTCGACTCAGGTTCGACTCAGGTTCGACTCAGGGTCGACCCAACTCGACTGACGTTCGACGCAGCTTCGACGCACGAGTGGAGCGAGTGGCTCCAGGAAGGTCCCCAGATCGAGCATCCAAGACTTCGGCTTGCACCTGCGCACAGTTATCGCACGAGCGGCTCCCCGCATGATTGCCGACGAGGTCGGCTACGACCTCTTCGCCTGTCTCGCACGAGCTGGCCCCTGCGGATGTCTGCTCACACCTGTTCGCGTGTCTCGCACGAGTTGATCCCAGCATGGCGGCTAACCGCGCGGGCTCCTGCAGTCTCGCATTTCTCCCACGGGCTGTTTCCAGCGCAGTGGCTGATGATGTCTGTTGGCTTCTTCTCGTGGTTCCCGTGTCAGCTAATCTTCGTGCCGAAGCAGTTGAGGCCGGCTCGCGATATCTTTGATTTACGGCAGTTGTGACATTGTGGTTGTCATTGCCCGTCTTCTCGGACTGTCGGTTCCCATAAACGTAGCTGAAGATGTCTGCTCGCACCTTGTCGTATACACGAACGAATCCCAGTATTGTAACTGAGGATGTCAGCACGTTTTTCCTCGCACTGCCCGCACGAGGTGATTCCGGTGTTGTGGATGAGGATGTCGGCTGACACTCCATCTCGTCTCTCGCACGAGCAGTCCCAGAATTGTAGCTCAGGATGATTCGCTTATTTTTGCACTGCTCGCACGAGCTGACCCTACACCGTGGCTGATGATGCCGACTCGTGTCTCTCTTTCCGTGTCTCGAAGTCTGCTTGCTCCTGCGTGCGACTCCCACGCGCATTGATCCCATCGTTTGATTTGTTCATGACGACTCTTACGTCTTCGCACTTCTGGCAGCATTGGTGTCTCCGTTGCCACTTGCTCCCTCCGCACACACACTCCCAGCAACTTAGTTGGCGTTCTCGGATCGCCTTCTAGCACGATCCGCCCCCAGCGCGATAGTTGAGCTATCGTTGCGCTGGTGTCTCTGTTGCCACCTGGCACGACTTCCCGAGATGTAGCTGAGCTTGTAGCAGGTGGCATGGCAGTGCGTTCCCTCTTCCCGCACCCGCTCGGCAGCGCCGCGCAGTCGGCTGCCTCTGCTCGAGAAGCGGAGGATCGCACGGAGGCAGAGGAGCGGGCGCAATCGGGGGCGGAGAGGGGTTCTCCTCGACGACCGCTCCCGCGCTGGAGACGTGGGGCACCGGGCATCTCGCTGACGGACGGCTCGCATGCGCAGCGCCCGCCGCGTGCGAGGGGGGAGCGCTCTCCGGCGCGGAGTGGCCCGAGGGAGGCGGGGGAGAGGCTCGCTCGAGGACGCCGGCGTGCTCCCGCGCGACGTCGGACTGGCCTTGGAGGAGGAGGAGGAGGAGGAGGAGGAGGAGGAGGAGGAGGAGGAGGAGGATTCGCTCGTCGCTG